TGAGTTCCTACTAGCGAAGGAGTCATCTCGTAGTCGGAAGCAAACGGTGGATACGTTTAGAGGGAAGACAAGTGGATTCCTAAAAGCGAGCAAACCGAAGTGTTCGTTATTCATACAGGAACCAATTTCCTCAACCACCATCAAGAAGAAGGAGTTAGAGTTATAAGGTAATATTTGATATTACTTGTAATTTCTAATATTACTTGTAACAAATCAAAATTTGTATTATTACATGTTTTTAAAGATGACGATTTGTTAATTCGCCATATGTATATACGGGTTAAGTATTTAAGTGTTAAATACTTGTTTTGAAAAATTTTAAATTCTGCTGCGTATAGCCCGTACGGTACAGGCGAACCCAACACATAGATCCCAACAGTGAGTTCATGTTTTTTTTAGAAAAGTCATTAGACTTAGTCTCTAGTGAATGTGAAATAAATCTCTAGTTATACGATAAGATGCTCATTGTAGTGGGAGTGTTGCTAAGCAACTGCCATAGTTTCATGTTTTATGAGAAGAGTCGTAGACTCAGTCTCTGACTCTCTGGTAAGCGTGAAAGTATGAGTTCACGGTCTTGATAAGAGTCTTTGGACTTAGTCTCTGGTGAATATAGAATTAATCACAGTTTATACGATGAGAATATCTGAGACAGTAGGTGCAGAAACTTAGCAAACAACAATGATTTCTGATATTGGGTCTTGGGCTTTAATCAGATGTGGGATCTTGTAGAACCACTATGTGGCATGACGCTACTGAGATTGATGGATCTATGAGTAAATTCGTGTAGGCTTCACAAGCAGGCTTGTTGTGAAGTAATGAACTTAGAAAGAAGTTGGATCTATTATGAGTTAAGCTTTTCACCAGTAGCCATACTTGAGTTTATATGAATTTTTGGTTGAGGCCACTCATATGTAATATGATTTTGGAATCGTGGATATCAAGACAAGATCTTAAAGGGAGATCCATGAAGAAGCATCCAGAAAGGTTCATTATAGATTGCTAAGAGCATCTAGTCAGTAAACCGAAACAGTCTATTTATGGACTGGAGTAAGCGTTGTTATCCGATACATTTGGTTGATCAAGTTTGTGAATATTATCTGTAACCAAATGAGCATGTGTATTTATGATAAGCATAGTGGTATTTTTATACTGTGCGTAGACGGCATTCAGATCACTTGAAAAAGGAAAAGGGTGTTGTCAGACGCAGAGGTAAGGTTATCCAAGAAGTTAGATATTAAACATTTGGAGAAATCGGCACATGTCTTGAGATCAAGGATCACAAGAAAAGAATTGTTGCAATTTTCTTGAATTTGTATCTACTGTCATGAGGCTCATTCGTAGCATATGTGACATAAAGGCAATTTCTTATGCGGCAATAGGAAGCCTAATATGTGCCATGCAGTAAATGAGGCTTGATATCTATTTTTGCCAAGGGCATAGTTGGTAGATATCGAAGTAATCCTAGTTAGGTGCAATTGGTTCATGGTAGAACATATGATCAAGCACCATAAAAAGGCTAAGAATAATATGTAGAGCTATCAAAGAAACCATATGCAACCTATGGATAACAATAGATTCTGATTTCTAATCAGACGTGAACAATATAGTAAAATCTACCTCGGGATTTGTGTTCACTTGTGAGGTGGAACCAAAGTTTGGATCCAGAAACCTCTATTGAACTAGAAATGTGAAGATCCTTGTTTGCCCAAGTTAGATCACAATTTGATTGTGATGGTAATTGGTGTAGTTTCAAACAGAAAGGATACACAAGTTCATAAGGCAAGAGAACGCATAGAGCAAGTACGGCCCATTGCGAGAAAGGGGTAGAGTTTTGTCGCCTAGTTACGTCAGGAGAAGACCAGAAAGATCCTTTTAGAATTGGCAAAGGGGTAGAGTTTTGTTGCCTAGTTACGTCAGGAGACGACCGAAAAGATCCTTTTAGAATTGGCATTCTGGCGAAAGCCGTTGATGACCATGATAAGGGATTGGGGAGTCGGATCTATGGCAGTTAGGACAATGGTTCTTTGAGAATAGAGATTGAAAGAAGTATACTGGAAAAGCGAAAACTTTAAGTATAAGTGGGAGATTGTTGATGTATATACTGAAAGCTTGGCTTTAGATATATTTACATTGAACCCGTTTGAATGAGAATCATGTTTCATAAAACAAGTCTATGTTCTGTTGTTTT